GAAGAGTGCTTAACTGCATGTGATTACAAGGCCAAGTGTAATGACTCATTAAGAGTCCGGACAGAATCGAATATAAAGCAAAAAGAAAAGCGATATTACAAACGGAAATTGTCCTAATAAAACCTTCTACTTACCTAGCCAAAACGAAATCCCAAATTCGCACAGCAGCAGAAGCAAGGAGGAAAAGCAGAGCGAAGCCCATCGAGAAACTAGGACACATTGCCATGGCTATTATGCCAACTCTTAGAGGAAAAAAGAAATTCAATAGATATTTGAAAGCAGTCTCACAACGATTGATATGCAAACCAAAAATCACGTAACAAACGGTGCTAATTAAATGAGATAAAAACGGATAGACAATAATGAATGTTAACCGAACCAATAAGCTGGATAGGCTATGAATTGTATTGCTAACGTTCATCTAAAATGGTAGCAAACGTGTAATTAAAATCCTAATTCTTAATAAATTGAGAATCTAGGTTCAAAAAAGTTGAAACATTATTTAATTTAAAATTTGCAGGCGAATTTGAAGCAGTACTCTACCAAGATGTCGTCTCAGAGAGTAAGCGAATAACCGAAAACAAAAAATTACCACAATGCCTCATAATCGGCTAAGCAAAACAGTTTGTAAATTGCCGCATAATGACCTTCAGTTGGATTAAGCACACTGGAGAATTGAGGAAAACAATATCAATGATAAGGAATAAACGGACATACATTATACAGATGATGGCAATGGGAAGGTGACCCATCTTGTCGACAGCACGCGCAATAAACTCGGTCTGTGGAATAAATGCGCAGCAAAATGGCATCTCGATGAGGAGAATAAAAAGCCCGATGAAACTAAAGATAAGGGAACGAAATCCAGCACATATTACATCCATTGGGAACGGTAAGTAGAAGAGCATAAGCGCGTCAAAGTGTAGTAGACTATAAAGAAAGTTTTTGCTTGACTTCCTAAGCGCGTGTAACTAAATCCCATTACCGCATGTTGTTCCAAAGGTGGTCAGCTACCAGTACCTGCCTTACATAGTGATGGCAAAGCCAGAGAATGTAGAAGATAGAGCGACGATACTGACGCTTCTCATTTGCAAAAAGACTTACAAAAGGAATATTCCAGCAAAAACGCAAATAACCGAGATCCCGATTGCTCCGACGATCCCAAGAATGCAACACACTTGGAGATCAGTTAGAAACAATTAGTGACATACGTATACCCGTAGTTATATGCAAGGCTCTAGTACCATAATGAATGAAGGTGTTTCTTCGGGGCGCAGAATCAGGCAGCATATCTATGCCGAGAAAACCAGTTTGCTGACTAAGAGAGCAATAACTCGGTGAGTGCGCAATACGAATATTAATTAAAACAGAGATAACCTTGAACGAAATCAGACTAGAGGTAAACAAATTAAATTGCTAAGATCAAAAGCGAAAAGGTAAAGACAGCACTAGCACTGGTTCCTCTAATCGGTTAGATGCAGAGAAGGTCTTCCTTCTTCCCTTTACCAAAAATTCTAAACTTACTTAGGTCACATTTATATTCTGTGATCAGCTTCAGGCAACGTAAATTTGTCCCTAAAATCCCGCTCAAATATAAGGGACTGTAATGCCTGACTAAATGTGGGCATTTTGGAGAAAAGAGAAGTGCTGCATGTAGCGCCCCGAAGCTTCCCATTGGGTGGAAGAAAGCATTAGTGGGTTGTATATATGTGTTCCGAAGACGACAGGGTACATGGGGCCTGAGCATGGCCCGAAAGCTAGCCCACATGTGCAGGTGTAATGCTTTGCTTATGTGACTTTCTGACGTTTGGCGGTCACTTTAGAACTTGTCTGTCCCCTGTACACGTGGGCTGGTCTTCGGTCCATGCTCAGGCCCCATTTACCCTGTCGTCTTCGGAACACATGTATTCAACCTCACTTATGCTTTCTGCTACCCTATGGGAAGCCTCGGGACGCTACACTGGTGGCAGCGGAAAGCGAACCCCATATTTTTAAACAACTTTTAGGCGTAAGGTGCTTTTGAAAGCGGCATAGTGTGTGGAAAATGTGTTGCCCGACAGACACTGCTGTCTTACTGACATCCTAAGTTTGTGTTGCTAAACTTTGCCAATTAGTCGACTGATTTCCGGCAAGGAACAGTACGAACAAACCGACGAGCAACGGTTCGATCAGATGACGCACTGGTTCAATGCATGAAGATACCTCAAAATCGGGTTCCCTTGATCGGAAAGTAAAAAAA